CAGCAAAGTCCACTCAAAAATCGAGCTGACAGGAAACATTGATGTTGTACAGATTCAACATCTCGCTAAGTCAGGCTATTGTCCCCACATGCTTCAAAGCTACCACCATCATTCCAGTCCCAAAGAAGTCGTCTCCATCCTGCTTCAATGACTACCGTCCAGTTGTACTTACTCCTATCCTCATGAAGTGCTTTTGAACGGCTAGTCATGCACCACATCAAGTCTGCCCCCCCCCTCCCTGGACTTCTTCCAGTTTGCATATCGGTCCAACCGCTCGACCGATGATGCTATCGCCACTACCCTCCACTCAGCACTCACACATCTGGACAAAAAAGACTCATATGTCAGAATGCTGTTCATAGACTTCAGTTCAGCATTCAACACAATCATCCCTCAACAGCTCATTCACAAACTGGTCCAGCTGGGGCTCAACACTTCGCTGTGCAACTGGCTGTTGGACTTGTATGGGTTGTATTTTATATATATTTAAACTGTATTTATCTGTATTATGTTTACTGTTAGTGTTAAGTGTTAACTGTATGCACCAAGGGTCTGAGAGTAACGCAATTTCAATACTCTGTATGTATGTGCTGTACATGTGGCAGAATTGACAATAAAGCAGACTTTGACTTTGACTTTGATATTAGGGTTTTAGACTGATTTCAACCAATAACACATCTGTCCTTTCAGATGTGATCTGTGGGATGTTTGTGTGGTGGTGGTGGTGGTTAAATCTCAGGGCTGTTAACTGACAAGTCGCTGGCTGATCTATGTATTTCACGAAGACACTTTTCCTCAGGATCTTCCTAAAAGATTGTACTGTACGTAAAATTATAAGCATCTAAATTACCACTTATGTCTGTTTTGTGTTTGATGCAGAATTAGATGGAGGGAGGCTGACCAGATGGATTCCTGACAGCAGAGCGAACAGACAAGATGATCAGCAGACTCCTGCTGTCAGTCTCTCATCCATAAGGATTGTGCTGCTGGGTGAAACTGGTGTAGAGAAAAGTGCATGTGGAAAGACAATACTGGGACAGAAAGAGTTCGGATCTGAGAAAAGACAGACTGTAGTAACAACTGAATGTTCAGAAGCACACACCACTGTTTCAGGCAGATCTGTGTCTGTAGTTGATACTCCTGGATTCTTTGACACACAGATGAGGCCTGGAAAGTTAATGACAGAGATAGCAAGAAGTGTTTATTTATCCAGTCCTGGACCTCATGCATTTCTCATTGTGTTCAGAGTTGACAGATTCACTGAACAGGAGCAACAGATTCCTCAGATGATTGAGATGATGTTTGGTCAGGAGGTGTTAAAATATTCCATCATTCTCTTCACTCACGGAGATCTGCTAGATGAGCCCTTGGAGGAGCTCATTGAGGAGAACAGTAGATTAAGACATCTAGTTCAGCAGTGTGGAAACAGATATCAGGTATTCAACAACAGAGATGAGAATAACAGAGAGCAGGTGAATGATCTACTGCAGAAGATTGACACAATGATAGAGCAGAATGGAGGAGGACATTACAGTAATCAGATGTTTGAAGATGCTCAGAGATTCAGACAAGCGGAAGAGCAGAGACAGAGAGAGCGAGAGGAACGCAAATGAGGAAAAAAAAATAACTTAAATGATTTTCGCAAATGGCTGCAATATAACAAAGAGTGAAAAATTTAAGGGGGTCTGAATACTTTCCGTACCCACTGTATATATATCCTCCTGAGAACCAGAAATAAAAAGCTTTGTGAATTTAGTATTTTTTCATGTCACTACATTGTTTAGAGCATAAGAAAAAAATGGTAAAATAAAAAATTTTTAAAATTATATTTTATTCATAAGTTATGCTATGTCCACTGTAGAGGACACCACGACTCAGTTTTTCTAAAAATAAAATGACAAGAGTAGACATTAAATCGCCAATCAATTTTTAGGTTTCAGGATTTTTTATAACCAACTTTGTTTAAAGATGGTTCTCAACTATGTTATAAAATATATAACAAAATGATTTGATATACCATTTTGCTTTATGCAATATGTGTGTAGAAATTCCATAAACTGGTTTTCCCATTAAGCACAATGTTATCTATACGCTGTATCTAATTTGCATATTAAAGTGCTGTTTGGACAGCATGTTGAAAAAAGAAAAGTATAATAATGGCAGTAGTCATTAGCCAGATTTTCATAATAATATCTAATATTTCATAAGAATATTGATATATAATTTGTTTTCCTATTCAATTCTTTTGTCTCCCAAAATGTATAATAAACATGCTTTTAGTCCTGGTGTCCTCTACACATCACTGTTTCAGGAAGAAAAATATCTGTAGTTGATACTCCTGGATTATTTGATACAGAGATGAGCCCTGAGGAGTTAATGACAGAGATAGCGAGAAGTGTTTATTTATCCAGTCCTGGACCTCATGCATTTCTCATTGTGTTCAGAGTTGACAGATTCACTGAACAGGAGCAACAGATTCCTCAGATGATTGAGATGATGTTTGGTCAGGAGGTGTTAAAATATTCCATCATTCTCTTCACTCACGGAGATCTGCTAGATGAGCCCTTGGAGGAGCTCATTGAGGAGAACAGTAGATTAAGACATCTAGTTCAGCAGTGTGGAAACAGATATCAGGTATTCAACAACAGAGATGAGAATAACAGAGAGCAGGTGAATGATCTACTGCAGAAGATTGACACAATGATAGAGCAGAATGGAGGAGGACATTACAGTAATCAGATGTTTGAAGATGCTCAGAGATTCAGACAAGCGGAAGAGCAGAGACAGAGAGAGCAAGAGGAACGCAGTGAAAACACAGACTTTACACAATTTTTTACCAAGTATGGGCATAATTTGCGTATGTCAGCGTTTGCAGTTGGTAGATCCTCCTGAGAACCAGAAATAAAAAGCTTTGTGAATTTAGTATTTTTTCATGTCACTACATTGTTTAGAGCATAAGAAAAAAATGGTAAAATAAAAAATTTTTAAAATTATATTTTATTCATAAGTTATGCTATGTCCACTGTAGAGGACACCACGACTCAGTTTTTCTAAAAATAAAATGACAAGAGTAGACAAAATTCACTCAAATATAATGTCCACTGCAGAGGCAAAAACTCCATAGCTGGGTCTCAGGAGGAGATATGAACTTGTTGGCGATGTTATTTCTGCATGTGTTTATGAAGCTCTTCATGCAGCTGTGGGAGTTTGTCATGGCCATGCTACACAGCATGCCCACAGTAACCTGTGTGTGTTGCTTCAACAAAACAACCATACATCTGTTTTGATTTACCTTCTTTCATTTGTATTCATTTTTTATTCATTCATTCATTTATAATCATTTATCATTTCATCATTTTATTATTCCATTTAATCATATAATAATTTATAATACTAATTTAATCAATTTATATACTTATTATATTTCTGGTGTAGAGACTTGATCTAACATTTCTGTCAGGCAAGAGGCCCAGAGCAATAAATAAAATCACCTTGTTTCAATAAATAATGTTTATATATATTATATACAGGTGCATCTCAATAAATTAGAATGTCGTGGATAAGTTCATTTATTTCAGTAATTCAACTCAAATTGTGAAACTCGTGTATTAAATAAATTCAGTGCACACAGACTGAAGTAGTTTAAGTCTTTGGTTCTTTTAATTGAAATGATTTTGGCTCACATTTAATAAAAACCCACCAATTCACTATCTCAACAAATTAGAATACTTCATAAGACCAATAAAAAACATTTTTAGTGAATTGTTGGCCTTCTGGAAAGTATGTTAATTTACTATACATGTACTCAATACTTGGTAGGGCCTCCTTTTGCATGAATTACTGCATCAGTGCGGCGTGGCATGGAGACAATCAGCCACTGCTCAGGTGTAATGGAAGCCCAGGTTGCTTTGGCAGTGGAGCCATCTACCAGGAAATTTTAGGGCACTTCATGCTTCCTTCTGTTCCTTCTTTTTTTATGTTGGGGGGTGGTTTGGTGGACCCATTTCTCCTTAGGGCCCCCAAAATCCTTGGGCCAGCCCTGGTATAGATGAACAATTATACTCTAAACTTAATTCGACACTGAAATACGTTGAAACCTTGTTGAAAACAGCTTGTGATCCAGAGCACACATACTAATAGTCACTTTAACACGAAACAGGAAACTCGTGAATATCCATGTTTGCTCTGCCCAGTATTTCTGGCCCAATAATCCAGGTCGCACGCAATTGCCATAATATGTTTGGTCTAGTACGCAGCTGCCCTCATATTTTAATGCAGGACAGAAATTGTAAGTAAATTTGTCATCTTTGCAGAAATGTAATATGAAGATTTGGCAAACTTACATTTATCTTTAGCAACACAGTGAAAGTGAACAGCACATAGAAGACACATACTACTACAAACATATGAATCATCATTTTTCATCATCGAGAGAGGCTGCGCTGCAGTCTTTAGCATCCTTGGTAGTGTTCACACCTCCCATGCCAGCGACCTGGGTTTGAGTCCCACTCGGAACATGAACAAGATGGGGTGGTTAGGACCAGAGGGGTTACACCTGGTGATCATTATGCTTTTGCAAAAGTGGGAAAATATTCAATACTAAATAACTGCAAGGTAAACATATTTCTTTTTCTGAGTGTCTCTGAGTGAAGCAATGTAACTTTATCCACTACTTACCTTCATCCACTGTTCCTTTTGAATCATCAAATTCTTCATGGTTTTATATGTGTTTCTCCACTAATTGTGTAGATATTTCAGATCACATTATCAAGTTGAAAATGTCTTCCACACTCTGCAGTCAATTGCTGAATCAATTAATAAACTTTCACAGATGTCCTTGAACAACATAAGTCATCAATCATGATTGTAAGTGCAGTTAATAGCTTCTTAAATAAATTATTTCAGCATGTTTCTCTCTTCTCAGGTCTTCCTCAGTGAAGTCATTATACTGCAGTATGATTAAGAAGACATTGATTTGTTATTGTCCTCTTGCATTTTTGACAAACTATTTTCCTGTTTGACACTGTAAAGCTGTTTTGACACAATCTGTATTGTATAAAGTGCTATATAAATAAAGGTGACTTGACTTGAAAGCATAAGGTCCTGGATCAGACATATTCACACACTCTTGATCTTCTGTTGAACACTGCTCATGATTGAGGAGCAGAACGATCACATGAGGTCCTGGATCAGACAGATTCACACACTCTCTCACTGTCTGTGTGATCTGATGATCTGAGATGTTTGTCTGGAGCAGCTGATGACTGTTGATGAGCATCACATGTCTGTCCTTCAATCTTCCTCCGACTCTCTCTATAACATCTGGAGGAGCTTCACTGTCAAACGCTGCTCGTCCTAATATGAAGTTTCCTACTCCACTGTTTTCTGACACACTCTTCCCCAGAAGAACAATCCTCAGAGGAGTCACATCACTCACTGAAACACACGAGTAATGTGTTACGACACCAAGAACTGTAGCATTCTACTATAACAGATAGTACTCGGTTCTATATAGAACCTTAAAGGGTTCTATCAGGCGCTGCATATTTGGAACCATTAAAAGGTTATATAAAGAACCCTTTTTAAGGGTTCAATCAAAAGAACCCTTTAGGGTTCTTTGTAACCAAGAAAAGGTTTATATGTAGAACCCCAATTAACCTTTTTTTCTAAGACTGTACATACCAGCAGGACTAAATTTGGACTAAAAGTGTTATAGATCAAGCAAAACTGGCCACAAGTGTTGCATGTTGTTCATCATGGTCATCAATATTCTACTATTGATTTACAGTCCAGAGGTCTTTCTTTGCTCCGTCTTCTCCTGTGAGCAGAACCGTGAATAACTGCTGTGGAAATGAAAAACACTTACATTTGACTCTTGGATATGACTAATAGCAACTACAAAACACATTAATTAGGTTTTTTTTTTAAAGGTCTGATTTATTGATTCTCTAAAGGAGTTTGCAGGGTTGCCACAGTAAACATAATACTCAAAAACAGCATTATTAGAGAGACACACTTACACTCTTAAAAATAAAGGTGCTTCAAAAGGTTCTTCAAGCGATGCCATAGAAGAACCATTTTTGGTTCCACAGAGAACCATTCAGTCAAAGGTTCTTTAAAGAACCATCTCTTTCTTATCTTTTTATAATCTGAAGAACCTTCTTTTGCCACAAAGAAGCTTTTGTGAAACAGAAAGGTTCTTCAGATGTTAAAGGTTCTTTATGGAACCATTTAGACAAAAAGGTTCTTCTATGGCATCGCGAAGCACCTTTATTTTTAAGAGTGTATGGTCTTTCGATATGCAGAAAACATATTCAGTGTTTCATCAAGTATATGAAGCACATCATTTCAGTACTGTGTAATAATTTCAGGTTATATGTTTTATCAGCTTTATTTTAAATCTGAGCCTTCAGTTTGATTAACACTATTTAGGAACAGTATTTGACAATTAATAGGACTCTATGAACAGTAGACATCATACAACACAACTTATAGAAACACATAGGCTGCTTTTATTTTACAAACACTCATGAACTGAAACATCAACAGAAACATGACTGACAGCGAATGTTTAAATACATGTATACCCTTTTTTTTTAAATACTAAAGTACAATGTAATGTGGAAACGTCTTACTTTAAGTACATTATTAAGTAGATAGATTAGACATTTGAATAAATCTTGTCTACCGTTCATCTCACAAAAGGATAGATAAATATCTCTTGTAGTAATTGAACTTCAGATGTTTTTTTATGATGTACATTTATTCATTTAGCAGATGCTCATACTGTATCTGAAGTGTCACGGTATACAACAATCCCCCCCGCATATGTCCACATTTTTAAATTCAACTTATTTTTATTTTAAAGCTGATTTTACTGATGTTCATATTCATTAATAGAGTAACCTCTCACCTCTGCTTTCTCCGCTGGACATGTTGATATTCTGTTCTTTCTTTATTCATGAGTTGATCATCTTCTCTGACTCCTGACATCTGTCTCTTCATCATCCTGTCAGACATAACACTGACTTAATTGACACACACTTTATGTGACTTAATGACAAAAGGGATATGTGAGCAAAATGCAAAACTTATAAAAGCTTTACACTTCATAACAACTGATTGATTGCAATTGTACATTTTGCACTTAAATTATATACAATCTTAGACCCACAATCTTGGATTGAGTTTTTGTTTCTCTGCTACATATGAAAGTGAAAGCAACCATTTCTGCCGCTCATACAGTTATAATTACACTCCTAATAAAACTTTAATCATCATTTTGTGTCGTATATTATGTTTACTTATACTATGCACCACTAAGAGTGTCTTAAAAGTAAATTAGATACCCGCATGTCGACGTTTTTGTCATTCCCTTCATGAAAGCAGGTATAATTAATATCCATCCTCTGTTTTCATATAATCTTGCCACTTTTAAAGTTTTCCCAGATTTAAGACGTGACGTGAAAACATTAAACCATTATTTAAGATTATTAGAGAAACGATCAGTGTAAGACTTGTTCAGCAGCTTTCCTTCATATATTTTCTGTGAACAATTTCTTTTCTACAAAATTTGTAGTAGGGTTGAAGCTTTTTCAATGCACTTTGTTTAACTTTTCTAATTAAAACTGTCAGATAAACGCGTTGTTTGTCTTCTACAGCCAATCAGTAACCTAACCTACATTTAAACAGGAATTTTATATATCATCCATTTAGATTATTGCTATTAAACATTTAACTAAGAAAATTTCACTTAGAGAATGTAAACAAAACATTCAAAACATAATTTCACGCTGATGCGAATCGCTTTTGTAACTAACTGAGTCCATCTGCTGGTTAAAACTGTAAATGCGGAAAGCACAGCAAAAATATATTTTATATGTTCTACAAAACAAATGCAAGCGTTTATTTATTTATTTACTTACTTAGGTTTGTTTGGGGAACGTCAGTGTTGTTGCTCGTGTTTCTGTACGGACTGTGAAAACCGTAGCATGCCTGAAGTTCATTCCATAAATATGGCAGAATGAATGGAAAGAAGGAACAAAAGGTGGACATTTACACTGCATACAAGACAAAGTTGGTTCAGAGAGAAGAAGATTTGGAAACAGAGGACGTTATAATAGCAAGAATGCGTATTGGTCATTGTTTATTAAATCAGTGCTTACATAGAATAGGAAAACATGAAAATGGAAATTGTGACAAATGTGGGTTAACAGAAACAGTAGAACATGAGGCTTATGAAAGAGAACGTTTCCAACCAAGTCAAGCTTTAAGGTATCTGGAAATAAATGATCTGTCACTCCAGGTTTTGTTAGGCGATGGATCTAAGCCAGGGGTGTCCAAACTCGGTCCTGGAGGGCCGGTGTCCTGCAGAGTTTAGCTCCAACTTGCCTCAATACACCTGCTTTTAAGTTTCTAGCATGCCTAGTAAGAGCTTGATTAGCTGCTTCAGGTGTGTTTAATTAGGGTTGGAGCTAAACTCTTCAGGACACCGGCCCTCCAGGACCGAGTTTGGACAGCCCTGATCTAAGCAATCAAGAATATATCGCGAATTAGTTATTAAAGGAAACAGGATTGATTAATAGGATTTAGGATGCCGGTTTTTCTCTCCGTGGGTTATTTATTTATTTATTAAAATGTCGTTGTTGTTTTGTTTTTTTGTTAAATAGGTAGCTCTTGTTTCTAAAGTTCCTATTCAGTGTGCGCTTCACACTCCTTTCCAGTAGGTGGCGGGAATGCACCTTTTAACTTGGTTTGCCAACCGCCATGAAATCCTAAAAGAAGAAGACATTCATTCCATGCTGCGACTGTCCTGCAGTCGGTCCTCCGCGAGACGCCACAATAAACTGGAGTTTTCTACGAATTTAACAATTAAATCGTTTTTACGACCCACGAGACAATAATAATGTCTGACAACGAAGACAAGTGAGTTCTGAATGCGTCTGTTACAGTTTTTATGAGATATTTACTGTCGTTTAAAGTTAGTGAGTGTGAAAACAACACGATGGGATCATTAGAAACCTGTAGTGTGTAAGGAACTAACGTTATATATACAACAGGGTTATGTGCTTTCTTGTGTGGATGTTCGTTTGTTTATCTGAGGATTCTGTGTTATTGTTGCTCAGTTTTGATGACGGAGATTTCGATGATGTTGAAGATGAAGAGCCTCTGGATGATCTGGAGAACGCGGAAGATGTAAGAACAATGCTTTCTGGCAGGTGAACGGGATTTCACCAAGTACAACATGTTCCTGGATCAACATTCCAATCAACCAATCAGAACTGAGGTCTTCTCTGACTCCTGACATCTGTCTCTTCATCATCCTGTCAGACATAACACTGACTTAATTGACACACACTTTATGTGACTTAATGACAAAAGGGATATGTGAGCAAAATGCAAAACTTATAAAAGCTTTACACTTCATAACAACTGATTGATTGCAATTGTACATTTTGCACTTAAATTATATACAATCTTAGACCCACAATCTTGGATTGAGTTTTTGTTTCTCTGCTACATATGAAAGTGAAAGCAACCATTTCTGCCGCTCATACAGTTATAATTACACTCCTAATAAAACTTTAATCATCATTTTGTGTCGTATATTATGTTTACTTATACTATGCACCACTAAGAGTGTCTTAAAAGTAAATTAGATACCCGCATGTCGACGTTTTTGTCATTCCCTTCATGAAAGCAGGTATAATTAATATCCATCCTCTGTTTTCATATAATCTTGCCACTTTTAAAGTTTTCCCAGATTTAAGACGTGACGTGAAAACATTAAACCATTATTTAAGATTATTAGAGAAACGATCAGTGTAAGACTTGTTCAGCAGCTTTCCTTCATATATTTTCTGTGAACAATTTCTTTTCTACAAAATTTGTAGTAGGGTTGAAGCTTTTTCAATGCACTTTGTTTAACTTTTCTAATTAAAACTGTCAGATAAACGCGTTGTTTGTCTTCTACAGCCAATCAGTAACCTAACCTACATTTAAACAGGAATTTTATATATCATCCATTTAGATTATTGCTATTAAACATTTAACTAAGAAAATTTCACTTAGAGAATGTAAACAAAACATTCAAAACATAATTTCACGCTGATGCGAATCGCTTTTGTAACTAACTGAGTCCATCTGCTGGTTAAAACTGTAAATGCGGAAAGCACAGCAAAAATATATTTTATATGTTCTACAAAACAAATGCAAGCGTTTATTTATTTATTTACTTACTTAGGTTTGTTTGGGGAACGTCAGTGTTGTTGCTCGTGTTTCTGTACGGACTGTGAAAACCGTAGCATGCCTGAAGTTCATTCCATAAATATGGCAGAATGAATGGAAAGAAGGAACAAAAGGTGGACATTTACACTGCATACAAGACAAAGTTGGTTCAGAGAGAAGAAGATTTGGAAACAGAGGACGTTATAATAGCAAGAATGCGTATTGGTCATTGTTTATTAAATCAGTGCTTACATAGAATAGGAAAACATGAAAATGGAAATTGTGACAAATGTGGGTTAACAGAAACAGTAGAACATGTACTTATAAAATGTGAGGCTTATGAAAGAGAACGTTTCCAACCAAGTCAAGCTTTAAGGTATCTGGAAATAAATGATCTGTCACTCCAGGTTTTGTTAGGCGATGGATCTAAGCCAGGGGTGTCCAAACTCGGTCCTGGAGGGCCGGTGTCCTGCAGAGTTTAGCTCCAACTTGCCTCAATACACCTGCTTTTAAGTTTCTAGCATGCCTAGTAAGAGCTTGATTAGCTGCTTCAGGTGTGTTTAATTAGGGTTGGAGCTAAACTCTTCAGGACACCGGCCCTCCAGGACCGAGTTTGGACAGCCCTGATCTAAGCAATCAAGAATATATCGCGAATTAGTTATTAAAGGAAACAGGATTGATTAATAGGATTTAGGATGCCGGTTTTTCTCTCCGTGGGTTATTTATTTATTTATTAAAATGTCGTTGTTGTTTTGTTTTTTTGTTAAATAGGTAGCTCTTGTTTCTAAAGTTCCTATTCAGTGTGCGCTTCACACTCCTTTCCAGTAGGTGGCGGGAATGCACCTTTTAACTTGGTTTGCCAACCGCCATGAAATCCTAAAAGAAGAAGACATTCATTCCATGCTGCGACTGTCCTGCAGTCGGTCCTCCGCGAGACGCCACAATAAACTGGAGTTTTCTACGAATTTAACAATTAAATCGTTTTTACGACCCACGAGACAATAATAATGTCTGACAACGAAGACAAGTGAGTTCTGAATGCGTCTGTTACAGTTTTTATGAGATATTTACTGTCGTTTAAAGTTAGTGAGTGTGAAAACAACACGATGGGATCATTAGAAACCTGTAGTGTGTAAGGAACTAACGTTATATATACAACAGGGTTATGTGCTTTCTTGTGTGGATGTTCGTTTGTTTATCTGAGGATTCTGTGTTATTGTTGCTCAGTTTTGATGACGGAGATTTCGATGATGTTGAAGATGAAGAGCCTCTGGATGATCTGGAGAACGCGGAAGATGTAAGAACAATGCTTTCTGGCAGGTGAACGGGATTTCACCAAGTACAACATGTTCCTGGATCAACATTCCAATCAACCAATCAGAACTGAGGGATAACTTCGCAGGAAATATCTGTTTTAGGCTTACAATCAGGGTTAGGTGCTTCCACACCCTTGTTAATCAGCTATCATTTCACACTGATTTTAGGAATAAATTATGGGTAGGATGAGGCTTAGGGGTAGGGATTGGGTTAAGTCTTTGGACAGTAATGTTGATCCAGGAACATGCCTTGTTTGGCAAAATCACGGCGAACGTTTTGACAAGCGATCATTGACTAATATAGATCAGAATGTTTTTTTGTATTAAATGACCAGACTTGTTTCCTTGCATTGCCACACTATGGGTGATAGTTGTATTGCATGTGAGTTTCAGCACTTTTAATGAAAATAATGCAGTTTTTATAGTTTTTCAACTCAGAATCCCAATCCCACTTGGGATGATTAGGTGCATGTTATAGATCCATTAAAAAAATCTTTTTTTTGACATTATATTAATGACAAATAAATCAATTCAGACCCCTAACATTCATTATTGTAATGCAGAAAGTGTTTAATAAGAATATAACAGGTTAGTATTTCTAGTACATATTTTATAAATGATTCTCAATGTGTCTTATTGACATCTGGTAAGTATTTGTAGTGAAAGTAGTTTAGTCTCAGTTGTTTTTCAGCTCATAATCTCAATTTCGGTTTGATTGTTGAAGTGCATCAGTGTCAGACTCTCCTGACAGTCTTATCTCTCTGTGTTGTTTGTTTCTCATCTGTGTGTGTGTTTGCAGGAGGATCAGGAGAACGTCCAGATCCTGCCGGCAAACTTAAATGATTTTAACAAATGGCTGCAATATAACAGAGTGAAAAATTGAAGGGGGTCTGAATACTTTCTGAATACATACATGCATACAGTTCATGTTTTCTGGTTTTGTTTTCGTAATCTTGTTGTAATTTTTATTAGTTTTTGTTAAAAATGTCAATTTTTAGTATCAGTCATGGTAGTACTTAAACTTATTTTAATTTCAGTTGCAACGTTGCTGCAAAGGCAGCATTTCTAATTTACATTTAGTTTGCTTTTCATCTAATATTTACATCTTATTTCAGTTAACAAATGTTTTAATTTGTTTTATTTCTAAAGTTTTTTTTTTAAACCATAAAAACGTTGTACGCACAAAAGCCAAGTCAATTTATTTGTATAGCACTTTTTACAAGAAACATTGTTTCAGCTTTATATTAGTTTTTTAAATTATTATTATTTATAAGGACTATACACATTAATTAACATTTCTGTAAATGTGCCAGTATTCATAATATTTTAATAATATAGTAATACCTTAAAGTCACATTAAGCTTAGAGCTGAACGAGAATATAGTTCACGTGGAGACTATATAAATTATCAGCCAGTTGAGATTTGCAATGCGTACTAATAAATGCTCATGATGCTCCATTAATCATCAGTGATATCACTTCCTGTGTGACAGGATGTGTGCGCCGGTGATGGTGGAGCTGGAAGGAGAGACGGATCCACTGCAGATTGCCATGAAAGAGCTCAAGTATGACAAAACGCATGTTATTACACTACTGATATATTTAAGTTTTGATTATTCATGATTTACTTATGTAATTACAGACATTTAAGTAATGGTATGTTCTTTAATAAAAACAATACTTTTCTATGGGGGGAAAATATATTTTGTTTTACTTGATTTTAATTTAAACTTAGAGTAAAATTATTTTAACAGTGTATAGACAGTCTCTGACACATTCTCAGAATGTGTATTTTTCTGTGTGGTATGTGTTTTAATGTTGTTTGTGTGTTGATCAGGAGCAGGAAGATCCCCATCATTATCCGTCGGTATCTGCCGGATGGGAGTTATGAGGACTGGGGCTGTGACGAGCTCATCATTACTGACTGAGAATCTCACACACACACACACACACTTACACACTCAGATCCGCATCAGATCTGTGTGTCACAGCAGTGTTTACAGCACACATCTCAAGTGTTCTGCACTGGAGCTTTATATTTCATCCAGCAGTTCGTGTGTTTGTCCACAGGAGGACAGCAGAAACAAAGGTTTCAATTTCAATTATTTAATGTTCATTCCTTTGTTTTATTCATGCAATATTAAACTTTTTTTTTGTAGGAAATTATATGCTTCACTCTTGTTTTCTCATTATTGTTTTGAAACAGTATGACATTATCTGTAGATTCATACTACATGAGTTTAAAGCTGTTGAATAAAACAGCAAATCAAATTTAATTTACAGCTGTTCATTGAAATAGTTTGTAAAAACGGGGGAGTTCAAATGTAGTTTTTTTTTTTTTTTATAATACTAAGAAAGTGTTGTAAACTAAAAGTACCAAAGGAAGGAAAACATTTAATAAACATTAAACGTGTATTTTTTTTCCCCTAGTCAGAACATTATTGAAATGACCCTTGATTCAGAAATAAAAAAAAATTCTTGAAAATTAAGGCTGATAAAGTTCGCGCCATAAAGTGTTTCGCGGGATTTGATTCGAATTTATCAGCGATAACGAACCGTTTCCACTTAACTGGCGCACGAACGGCGGGATCTAAATGTAAATATTCATTGTTTGCGCGGGTTAAAAGTGTCTGAATTCACCTTTTGAGGTGAAACTACTTTTCTAGGTGGATGAACTTGGATCTTCATTCCTGTGGATGGAGTAAACGGTAAGCGTCTCTAATCACATAAAGGCTACTCTCAGAGTAAGTACTTATTTTGAATAAACTATTAGCCACCGTTACTAAAGCACGTTCTATAGTATTAATGTGTGTAATATATATGGATGTATTCTGGGTATATTCGTCATGTTATCATTGTCATGTGACCTACGGTGTGTTGTGTTGCTGCCATTCATAAATCCTCTTCCATTGCTAGGGTTGCCAACTTCAGAAAAGGAAAATAAGGGACAGTCGTGGTTTATTATAGAAAAAATAAGGGACATTAAAAAGATGGACTGCTTGGTGCTTGATACTTTACTGGTCATTTTGTATTTCAAGAATGGGGTCCAAGGTTAAGAATACATTACAAGTTAAATGTAAAAATGTTTTCACTATTTAACAACAGTGAAAGACAACGTCCCGTTATAATCACGTCTTCCTTCAGGTAGATTGCGTGTTTTCTTGCATGGCTGGATGTTGGAACCTTGAACAATAATCAGGTTGTTTGCATTCGCCCAAAATGATCTAATTATATTTATTATTAAGTTGGAGTTTGTTTTGTATGGTCTAGGCCAGGGGTGGGCAAACTTGCCCCTTCCAGGCCACTTTCATTCAGAGGTCAGCTCCAACTCTAATCAAACACACCTGAACCAGCTAATCTTTGTCTTCAAGACTACTAGTAGGCAGGTGAGTTTTATCAGGGTTGGATCAAATCTCTGCAGGAAAGTTGCATGGAAGGGCCAAGTTTGCCCATCACTGCTCTAGGTGGTCATGTCGTATATGGGACAAACTGCATTCAGCATGACTTTTATACAGAACGCTTCTTTGATCCCTTAAATGCATTTGTCAACCCTATACATGCAGGGCAGGACTTAGGGGGCCCCTGGGCTTGAGGTTAGGTTTGGGCCCCATACCTAGGGTGAATTCTGGGACATTTTTTGCAATTTTGACTCCTGCGATTTATTTCGATATCTAACACATTAGATCAGCACATTAAACTTTTCTGAAATCCCTAAAATGCTTTCTAACCACACCAGAAGAAAGAATGAAGATATTACAGAGGAGACATGGCACACCTATTAGTGTTTTTGTGGCAAAAAAAAAAAATTCTGCCTGAATTTGATAATCTGCAGGTCACTTTGTAATCTGGGACATATGTATTAGGCCTAAAAAAGCCTATATTCACCATACTTCATGCATGCCAAACACCATATCACCAATAAAAAAAAAAGCATTATGAAAAAAATTGCAAGTGCAGAAATCTCAATAAGAAAATGTATATTCCAATATAAGGAAAAATTATTTCTATCTACACAGCATTAACTATCTACTGTTAATTCATTTAAATTCATAGCTGACTAATGACTCTGTCTCTGTGTGTGTGTGTGTGTGTGTGTGTGTACAGAACATTGTCAACTGGCCTGGGTGCAGATCCCCCTCCTGCTCAGTGATTTGAACCGTTGTATGCTAAACTTTCTGGAAATTTAGGAAAAGAAATTAACGTTTACTTCCTGATACCTTTGTTTGCTATTGGAATACGTTTCCCAGATTTCGTCTCTGTAGCATCTCTCTAGCTAGCTGGTTTAGCTAGCTGCTAGCTACTGTGAACTTATGCTAATGTTATAACCTCCAGTAGTCCACATTAACACCCATTTCTCATTATAGCATATATTATCCCTTATCATTAGACTTATAAAGTCCCTAAATGCATATTTCCTCCATTTGAAGACTGTCCCAGATTACCCAAAACATGCTGTCCCACATTCTCAATCATATTTGATCATGTGGGACAACAAAAAATGTTTGAAAGAAGAAAAAAAAACTAAAACACATTTTCAACACTTTAATACATATTTTGTTGCTTGAATAGATCACAAACGTAATCTGACAACAATTAGGAACATCTTGTCTTATTCATGACAGTTTTATGCCCTTAACATTAATCTAGTCAGAATCCTTTGTCACTGACCTTGTCCTGCATTTTTCCAGGAGAGCTTCTTGATTGACAAGTGCCCCGCCCCTTTCTGTGGAATCACCCCAATTTCAGTCACATGACATCCATGCTAAAATTATAATAAAAGGCCTATTGACTAAATTTAGTTAGAACAGGAAAAACACACTGGAGCTTAGGTGTCCCAGATTACCCGAATTCACCCTATACACTACAAATGCCCTCAACTAGAATATTATTATGAAGTAACATAAAATACACAAAAATTAAAATATTCTTTCAGGTTCATATACAATTAATATGTAACATGTCTAGCCTAGTCAAATTTTAGATGTAGCCTAATATTAAATAGTCATTATAATACAACAAAACAATGTGTTCTCTCAGTTGAGAGATCAAAACCCTGAAATAACACTGAGCAAAAAAAAGCCAGTGATGCATTAGTATTATAAAAAATGTATTGTCATATCTGTCTTCTAATGTCAGATTCTTAAATGTAATCAATAAACTCAATCAAAAAAAAAAAAGTTGGTTATTAACAATCAAATGAAATCACTCATAGAAATATTAAATGAAATAATAAGCTACTTTTTTGAAATATGAACTACGTGGCCTCATGGGATAGTAAAGTGTCCATCGAATGTGCGCTTCAGAATCTTTCCAGAAGTAGATACTTATGCTGCGTCCCAATTTATACTACTTATAGTACGCCCTTAAAGTATTCTATTTTGGTAAAGGAAAAAGTACACACTTTTGAGTGTGTATTATAATAGTAGGCAAGTTTTGGGAAGTATTATCACATCACACAATTAGATAGAAGTTCAAATTGTTGTTGCAGATGAAATATAACACAGATAATGTTAAATATACTTTTTTTTTTCTCACCAGGATAGTAACTCAAACCTCTCTACATTTGGTCACGCACATCCGCCATGTTTGTAGTTTATAACACTTTTTATTCATGTTTGTAGTTCTGAATCAAATCCTTTGCCAAAGCGCAATGGATTGTGGACAATATTAACCATTACAGTGTGCATGGATCACACTTCAAACGTCTACCCAAAATAGTAGATCATCCGGGGACTTTTGGCCTACTCTTTTCATCATGCAATGGTTTGGGACACACTTATTGTAATCTCACATATAGGATGTATAAACACTGAGACGCAGAGCAAGAAATTC